TACATCAAGGCAAAAATCAGATTTGAGTCACAACCTGGTAATGTGAACGTAGCCTAAAGAATCATGGAAATGCACAACAAGGAGACTTACTGAGGCTCCAGTGTCACCTCTCTTCCCAGAACAGAATTCACCACCAGTGAGTCTTTCTTCATCGGCTTCATCCGAGGAGCAGAACTAGAACAGAAATAAACACAGACAACTACTATGTCAACACACACGCTCACAGCAAGAGGATCCCAAGGCACATGCAACCATTAAATAGGTGATCAAGGAGGGTGCCATGTGACTTACATTGGTAAGGCTTTCCCACAGGTGTGCGTTGACTGTATTCTGGTAGCTGTAGCGTCGGAGGTATCGAACAATACCGATTTTAAAGGCTTCTGGTGTGAGAAAATCTCTCAGCATGTTTAAAATACAAGCTCCCTGAAAGAAAAGATTAAAGCATCAGTGAATGGTTTCACTACAAACTTAAATATTGTGTTTTTGTCTTGATGATTCATTAATATTAGAAGCTAGCGTTACACAACTTGCCAAATAACTACACACCATTCACTGTAGTTCGATTGTTTCTGATATGCCTGGATAAGCACATATATCTTATGATGTAATACAGGCTAAGAGAGCAAATTAAATCCCGGAAGGACCATACCTTATCGTACGAAACGTCATCAAACATCTCCTGAATTTCAGTTGGGTCCTCCACAGGTGTGGAAACAGGGTGAGAGGAGCTCAGTGCATCTACCTCCATGGCCTCAAAACATTTACTCAGGAAATAATCCTCCTAGAGCAATAAATATGTCCATTTAGGGTGGGCGATATGGCCAAAATGTCACATCATGATATTTTTGGTTAGAATCACAATCCAAGATATAGATCGTGATTTTTATTCACTTGCCAGCCAAACAAATTGCAATGTATTGACCATTTCACCACTTAACCAGCAATTCTACCCTTACAAAAACAATGAACATTTATCACTTTGGTCTAAAACTGTGCACTTCTGAACTCAGTTAACCGCAAGTATAAACCAACAATAACAGGTAAGTTGAGGTAACAAACTGGTTGTGTTGCCACTTGTACGAACTGCATCTCTGCAAATCTGTAATTTACAGCAGAATGGTCCTCGGTGGATTTTACAAATTTACACACAATCAAAGTAGCACCTTTTTTGGAACTAGTTCTTCCTCATAAGCCAGGCCACATTCTCTGTTAATTCAACAGTAGTTGACCCGTCTATAGAGGCCACTGATTGTTTACTGTGACAAGTACAATATTTTTAGCAGTTTGATGGCATATAAAGTTTCATTCTGTTGTCATAATAATAGTGTTAAGTAGTACACTTGTAACTGTACATTCACTGGAAGCTCATCTTTGCTGCACTTATGCCTAGTCAACTCCTCAACAGCGTGTATGTTTCTTATGTGTTTCTCTTATCTTCTATTTGCCTCACGTGTATGTAACTTTGGACAAAAGCATCTTCCACATAATTGTAGTGCTGTATCTCGATTTTTGTGGTAACTGTAACACTTATTCCTAGGTGATATTTTACATAATCTATTCAGTATATTTTTTATCACAGAACTCAAACTGCTGCAATTTTTTCAACAATAAAAGCATGCTTCTCAGATGAATTTCAGAGATGAGTTTCAGACATTGGGTAAAGTTAACCTCACCACTTGCAACTCGGGGTTGGTAATGTTGACGGACACAAACTCCATGAATTTGGCAAAGCCCTCATTTAGCCAAAGATCATTCCACCAGTGCATGGTCACCAGATTGCCAAACCACTAATACAGAGAGACAGAAAAAAAACAACAGTTTTTCCCCATTGTTAATACAATATTGCTAATTGCTGCTAATTACCATAATTTTGACTTGAGAGAGACAATGAGAAAGCTGTGCAGTAAATGCAGTAAACTCACTAAAGCATATAAAAAAAAAACAGGCTGTTTGAAGAACACAAAAGATGAAGCACCTGGTGTGCCAGTTCATGGGCGATGACCATGGTTATTCCTAGCTTTTCTGAGGCAGATGACTTTTGTGGGTCAAAGAGAAGCCCAGACTCGCGGTAGGTGGTCAAGCCCCAATTCTCCATGGCTCCTGACTGGAAGTCAGGGATAGCAGCCAGGTCTAAAGGGTACACCCAGAATTATCTTTCATGAAAAGATGCAGAAGCTACATGATAACTCAGAGAAATGTGTACTTTAAACATTTCACCCTGTAACTTTGTAATTTTGTTAATTCCATGTATGAAAATTGATTTTTGTCATGTTACTATCTGCAACATAAGTGTATTGTTCATACCAAAATTGTCACCAAATAATAAATCTGATGTTTCATGCTGACCTTGTTTGGGAAGTGGATATGGAATGCCAAAATAATCATCATAGAAGTCCAGAAGCTTAATTGCAGCATTCAAAGCATATTCCGTCTGGTTGATCTTGTCTGGAACAGCATACACTGATATCTGGAGGCAGGGTCCATGAAGTTCATAAATACTAACCCAGCATTAATAAAATATGACTTGGATGTACATAATTACTGCATGACATATAAGCAAATTAACTGCTAGACACTAGCTGAGTACTTTGAGTACTTTGAGTACCTTGACTCCATGTTGACTCGTGCCACTGATAGACAGGAAGTCTGAAACAATGAAGGCCACCAAGTAAGTACTCATCTTCACGCTGACATCAAAGTGGTCTTCCAGGAGTCCTCCTGACAACTCTACAGTCTTCAGCTGGACAGACAAGAAAACCCAGTGACATTAAAGTTATACGCCCTGTTGAAGATCTCCATATTCTGATTAGGGTAGTACAATTAAATTATGGCTTTGTAACCTCTTTATCACACATACAGCCAGAAAACGTATTTCTTAAATCATCTGAAATAGTAATTGCAGACATGAAAATACTAAGGCAGTAGTTTGGATTAGTAACAAAAAGCAAAAGGTGTCTTCTATACCTTTGGCATATTGGACAGTGATATGTGTTTAGCTTCTCTAACGATCCGAATGGAAAAATTGGCTTTGAAGGCCGGTTCATCAAAACAGGGGAAGGCAGCACGGGCATGGGTGGGCTCAAACTGGGTGGCTGCGATGGACCTGGTGGCGGGAACAGGGAACTTAGACAGGACTAAAAGAATCCCAGCAACCTAAATGTCAATAGAAGTTTTTTTTTTTTTGCCTCATTCAGTCATTCTAGGCTACAGACAACAAAACAGAAAAAATGATAAAATTATTAAGATAAGCAGTAGTCTTGCCTCACTTCTCCGTCCCGTGTCCGGTAGGAGCTTTTGTAAAAGCCGTGAAAGCTGTCTGAGAGGTTAGCAGCAAAGTCCATGCGAACTCTGTATCGCCGTCCTGAGGTTATGCTGAGGGCATCAGTCACAAGAGCCACCTGCTCAAAGGCAGGCAACTCCAGAACCTTAAGTGGGTGACGCTTGTCTGACTCCAGAAGTACCGCCTTGGAGATCTGTAGGTTTTTGCTGTGAAGGATTATACTGTCTGTGCTCTGCAGAACCTCCAGCTGGATCTCAACGGTCCCAGTAAAGTCGAGTGAGGTCAGGTTGGGGTGGATGCGAAGGTCATAGTGCAGTGGTCTGATTGTTTCAGGGAGCCTCATTTTATGCCACGGGAAAGGCTGCCCATCAGCCGCCACAGGAAATGTAGCCTTATCTTTACTCTCAGCCTCACCAGAATGAGAGAGAGTCATTTGGACAGGTAGGAGAATAATGCTCAGTAAAACGTACATCCTCGACATTTTCCAGACCGTTCTCCTCTCCTTAGAAATTTTCACCTTCGGGAAGAATGAAAATAGGTGAATACAATTATGGTTGTGGAATAGCCTTAATGGTTAAGCTTAGAAATATTGGTCTTGAGAACAGACCTTGCATTCATTGTAGTTTATTCACACACACGAACTTCAAACACATAAGCGAATAATTACGCTTAAAACTACATATTTATAAAAAAATAAACATCGTGTATTTAGCTAGGGAAGAGCATTTCTTCCACGTTATGGATAGACAGAGAACGAAATATGATCGACGCAGCGCTTCTTTCGATATAATATAGTAATATAACAGAAGCCGATGGACAACAAATTATTGCTCCCAGAATCAAATTTAAGCTTCAGTCTGTTTAGCGTGAATATTTCGAATACCGAACAATAAAACTACATTTATCTCACGAGCAACTTACCATTGTTAAAGAAGCGAAAATGCACGAAGGAAAGTGAAAATAAAACCATCTCGTTTGCAGAAAAAGTGCATGATGGGACAACAGACGCGAACGAATTTAATTGCGAAGCGAAGTGCAGGGTTCCTGTTAAACGTTTCAACTCAAGTTTTATTTTCTGCAAAAGCATGTTTACTTTTTTGCGAGGGGGAAATGCGGAGCTCACAGTCCAAGAAGAGGCCAGCCAAACAGTCTCATTTATCACATACTCACCTTAAGTACATTAAGATATTATCCACCATTTGTTACATAAATATTAATTGTACGTAAAAACGTCATTTTAAGTTCGGTCACTGCTGATGTTGCGAGTTTATTTATTAAATACGCCAAATAGCAGCATACACAGGAGTTGCTAGGAAATCGCAGAAATGTATCGAAAATTTACATAATGCCGCGTGCAGAGTATTCAAGCGCCCGCCACTTCCGGTCCCTGGGTCCTGCTTATTTATGACGTAATCAGACATTAGTGCAAGCGGTTCCCCGGCTCTCATCTGTTTTCATTCTGGGGTTCTCGGGCTGAAAACCCATATTACAAATAACCAGGAAAACGCAACGAAAACATACAATACTTATATATCCAATCCAGGAATAAAATTCACCCATTTGACACATTTTGTCCAATTTATGCTTGTGTACATGAGTTGTGGCTTTTTCTGTTCATTAGCGACATGATTTGGCTATCACTAGACGAATAAAAAAGTAACTAATTTGTGTAATATCATCGGACCTGAGATGGTTTCAGTTAATACATTATGCAGCAAGAGAAGGTACAAAATATTTAATTGGTTTCAACTCAGATTAGACATACTCAGCAATATTAATTATTCAACCAAACACATAAAATATAAAATCAGAACATTTGGATATCATTGACATATTCAGCCTTGTCTCCTTGCTACAAACTGTTTACAGTACAAAATGAGAGAGGAATTTCTATTGCACATTAGATACTATAGTCCATACAGCAAATGGCGGTCTGTAAAAGTTTCCATGCATTTTTCTATAAAAACATAAACAAAATATGTTTGCCAATTAAAATCAAATTGCCTTGGAACCTTGCCTTATTGCATCACACAACAAATAAAAATGTTACTTTCTGATTTCTGAATAGATAGAAATTTGTCATTATTAAATTTCTAATCAAATATTTAAGAAAATGTGGGAAAAGGGAATTTTTGCATCATATGCCACTAATATCAAGCAGCCAGATAAATAATTTTAACACACTAGTGACCTCCTGGTATGTTTATTGCTAAAATTAGTTGTTACACCACAAGGCCCCTCACACATGCAGAGTATGTTACGGGGTTCTTAAAGAAAAAACAGCAGATCATAATCTCTCTTTAAAAACAAAAAAAACTGAAGACTGCTTAGTTTAGAGATTAAGCAGAAGTTATTTGTTGCAGAATTTTTGATGCTGCCTAGTTTTAATGGTATTTTTCTACATGTACATGTTGGCCTGGTTGAAGAATCACATGTAATGAAACCATCGGCCGTAACCTAAAGGTGTAGAGGCAGAGAGACCCTTGTGAACCTGTGCAAAGATGAGAGCGTGGCGTCCTCACATCTGGGTTCCAAGATTCTTCTGGTGGTACCCCTACTTGGCCACCAAAGGAAGTCCATACCTGACCCTGCTGTGGTTAAGATCTTTACCACCACCAAGTTAATCCTTCCAATCCGTTACATTGTTTTTTAACAGGACTTTCTGTTATGGGCGATCGCTCCTCCTGCAATCCGCCACACCAGCTCTGCTCTCTAAAGCCAGCCGGTGCGGAGTTTGACGGGACGGGCCCCAAGCCGCAGGAAGCAGTGCATCGTGGGGCGAGGAGCTACCTGGGCTGTTCAGGGACCAGCCTCTTGAACCAGCTATTCACTGCGACGTCAACTCGCATGACCAAGGCGAAGCTGAGGAGGATGAACACGCTGGCTACAACAAAGCCAGACGCCTCGTACATCAACCTGCAGGGAAAGTGTACAGGTCAGTTTGCATGGAAGACCTTAAAATTAAGGTTTATACTGAGCTCATACATGCATTTATATAGATGAATTATCAAAGCAGGATAATCAAGGTTAAACTGTAATACTCAGTCCAAGACTACATTATGGGTCGTAAAAAAGTAACCAGCTATTAAACTGCTCTTTGCTGCCTGTCTCTGAGTCTTAGTCTGTCCCCCAAGATCTCTACAATGGTGATCTTTAGAAATGTAACTTTTAAGCTAAAACGACTCCAAAAATTTGAATATCTTTCATCCAGTCTGTTACAGTGCATCTAGAATCACTCCACTATTATGACATTATATGGTCTATAAAAGCCCTGATATAAGAGACTCACTTGGGTGCAAAGACCTTCCACACCATGAGGTGTCTCCTGAGAATAGCTGCAGCCAGGGCTGACGCCAAGACCTGCGGGGACAAGGAGGGCAGAGCGGTGACTCCCAGCTGCATGCACTGGATCAGGGGTCGGCAGTCTTATCCAGAAAGGGCCACTCTGTTTAGGGGTTTTCGGTGCAACTCCCTAATTAGATTACTAATTAGAGGACTGATTAGCTGAAGAGTCCTCACACCTGGGTTTGAACAGCTGACTTGAAGGATATCCCAAAAACCTGCATACACACCGGCCCTTTGCAGATAAGACCGGCCCGCCCCTGCACTGGATGTCCGAGTTCTGGGTGTGTCTCCATGTGGCCACCCGCTCACCTGCGCCCCCTTGACGAAGAGAAACCGCATGGCCAGCTGCAGCAGAGCGGCCGAGAAATCAGCAGGGCGCTCCCTCAGCTTCATCTCCATGACCGTCTCATCTCCTTCGTCTCCGTCCGCAGTGTGGCCCCGCCCACGCTGGCCCCCTCGCACCTCACACACCAGCGGCCAGAAGAGCAGGAGGGGACACCCCACTGGAAGAGATGGGGAGAGGCATGAAGATACACATTCTCACCAGTTTAACCACATTCCGCCATAAAGATAAGACGGGCTGTCCTTTGACTGCTATCGCTGAGGTAACGACACGTAGCCAAGCAACCACTCCCAAACATTTTAAATATTTACGTCGGATATGGAAAGTTGCCGTTTGACAGACACCAAGTAACTAAAATAACCTTGTAATGTTGTAGTTTTCACCATATTATTCATTCAGTTAGTTTTTCATCATGTCTACATTTCATATGTGAGACTGCTAACATCAATTATTTCACATCAGCGTTGTTTATTTAAAAGGGACAGAGAGTAATGTTTCTTCTGTATTTGTGTATATAAAAAACATCCGTGCTTATTGTTATTTATACACTAGTGGCCAAAATTGTGGAAACATTTCCAATTTTTAGAGACTGCTTATTTAACCGTCCGATGTATATTTGTAACATTCTTTGATTGTTTATAAACAGTACCGCCAATATTCCTGCAGCAATTTTTAAAGCATAATGCCAAAAATGATAGATGTTTACACATTTCTGGCCACTAGTGTGTATCTTATTCCTATGGATACATGCAATATATCTCTCTATATATCTAATATGTAGCATGCATCATTGTTATTGTTATAATTATTATTATGCTCTTTATTCCTTTAGTGTGTATATATATATATATATATATATATGAAGACAGTACCTGCAAACAGGATGTGGGAGGAGAATGTATTGAGAGTGACAAGCACACCAGGGAGCAGGGTGCCTGAGTGCCCCTTGGGAAAGCCCACAAATGCTGCCCCCCACTGGATGGATGGGAAGGTAGGCAAGTGCCCCGTTCCATGGAAGAACTGGGTGGCGGCCAAATCCCACAGTATCACTGGGACCCAGGGCACACTGAAGCCCCCTGCAGGCAAGGAAGGGAAAGACACTTAAACCAACCATATTACACTGTTCAGAGTAGGGCTGCTCATTCCTGCTCCTGGAGATCTACCACCCTACAGAGCTTAGGTACAGCCCTAATATAACAAACCTGATACAGATAATCAGGCCCTTCAGTAGCGTCTCAGCATTAGAGCCGGCTATGTTGAAGCTAAGCTGGCTCTTTGTAGTGTAATGTAGGAACTATTTTCTTCTACCGAACTCCACAAACCAGTCGTATCACTGCGCAGCAGATATGAGAATGAGCACCCTAGCGATATCTTACTCCAACCTTTACATATGTTTGTAAGCAATTATTGTCGGAGAGTTAAATAAAAGTATACATTTTTTTACTTAACAAAAGGATCATGAGAAAATTTAATCCTGAACACAATATTGTGAATTGAACCGAATCGTGATTTGGGTGAATCGTTACATGTCTATACAGTACTATGAAAAGTCTTAATCAATGAGGTATTGAGAGATATACAAGGTGGGGTAGTGGTTGAGTGTTGGATGGGTATGCATGAGTGTACTGGATGTTGACTTTAGGAGAGCTTTTGAAATGCTGAGGTTAAGCTAACAATTTGATAGAACTTCATAAGTTCTATCAAACACCAACATGAAGATCTTTTAAACGTTGATTTCTTTGACTGTCTGATGGTTTTACGCTTTGCACAATACTCGGTGTGTGTTTACACACACACACACACACACACACACACACACACACACAGTATATAAATGTTTTTAAATTTTTTTGCACACTTTTTGTGCAAGGGAGTCAAACAAAGTATGCGTATGTAAAAACACATAATTAGCGAGGGAACCAGTTAACGCTGAAATATGGCAAATATGTACATTTTGAGAAAGTGTCCATTACTTTGTCTTCTGACTCAGGTGGTCACTTACCCATGAGCGCCCCCTGCAGGGCCACCAAGTTGCTGGAAGAGGCATGTAGCTGTAGCAGGGCAGCCGCCTCCAGCAGTAGCAGCACGAAGGCCAGAGACACCCCCTCAGGGTGCAGGAGGAGGAGGCCCAGGCCCAGCAGGCCTGCCAGCAGGAGCAGAGCTGCGGAGTATACCGTGCCCAGGCCGTAGGCCTCCACAGAGGGTCGGCCGTCCGCGCCGGGGGCCCTGGGCTGAGCGCCGTCCTCCAGGGAGAGCCGCATGTGCTGGTACAGCTGGGGGATGAGGTGCCGCAGCTCGGCCTGGGTGCTGACCCCCGTGCTGGCCCGGTACCGAGGTGCCGGGGATGGGCCAGCTAGGCTGCGGGCCTTCAGAAACACCGTTAGGGGGTCCAACCAGAGCAGCGCGGCACCGAGCCCCAAGAGGCCAAAGGCGGCACGGGGCAGAGCCGTCAGGGAAAGGGCGATGAGGTCGGCCAGGCCCCGGAAGGTGTCCTCAGGAGTGGCGTCCACAGCCCAGTGCAGGCCCACGGACACCGCGGCCAGCGGGAACACCCAGCGGGCCACCAGAACCGCAGGGCCCGGTCCGTTCAGGTTGCCACAGCGGCGCAGCCAAAGGCGCAGGAGGCCGGTCCAAGCAGCCAGTGACGCTACCGACAGGGCGTAACGCAGGTTGCGGGCGCGGCTGTCCTGCACGCGCGAGAGGGGGAGCAGGAGGGGGGACGGCTCGCAATCGCCCTGCTCCTCGCGGCAGGCGGCGAGCGACGGCACTGCGTACGCCGAGGCCGCCAGCACCCCCAGGCAGGCGAGGAGCGCCAGGCTCTCCCTGCGAGCGGCCGAGGGGGAACAGGAGGCCGCAGGCGGAAAGGGGCACGGGGGCTTCTGAGGGTCGGGGCTCGGCGTGAAGAGGAGGCCGTCCCAATTGAGCCGCAGCGGGACATAGAGGCCCAGGGAGAGGAGCAGGAAAGTGACCACGCGGCCCTCAGCTATGACGTAGCTGTCCGACAGCAGGGAGGCGCAACGCAGGAAGAGGACCAGCAGGGGGATGCAAGGGAGGGATAGGAGCAGACCCCTCCAGCCCCACCGCTGGGCTTGGCTAGCCTTGGCCCCCCTCCCGGCACGGAGCAGCCTCCAGAGGTACACAGACTGGGAGGCGAAAGCGGCCGCGCCGAGGAACCAGCCCGCCTCCGCCCATCCCACAGACATCAGCTGTACGGTGACCGCTGCCCCACCGGCCAACACCCCCACGACCAGAGGGGGCGCCAGCGAGGGGCCCTCCCCGGCCCCCGCCAGTCTCGGCAGCTCTGACGCGGTGAGAGTCACCAGGCAGGCGGTGGCCATCACCAGCAGCCCGCTGAGCATCTTGAGCGGGTGGAAGCGTGCCCAGGTGGTCCGGCAGACGTCCCGCACGGCGCCAAGGTACTCCTGCAGGCCGCCGAGCAGCGCCGGGGAGGGAGCGCCCCCCTCCCGCAGCACCTCCCTGTACTCAGCAGCGAGCCCGGCAAAGCGCCCCCGCAGGCGGGACAGGCTCTCTGGGGAGATGTCTTTGGCCATGAGGGCGTAGGTCTCCAGGAAGCGGTTCACCTTGAGATCAGGACATGAAAGGCAACTGAAAAGCTGTAGCTTTTATTAGCGTTAAATAAGTTACTACGCTAAACCAAATCTGCACTTTAAACAGCCAGTTCTCTAGTCAAAGAGTTCTGTCCCATTCCTACACTCTTATGCCATCAGCCATCCTGAGCTAATGTTCAAACTCTGTGGCACAATCTTATCATACTTCATAGTATGTGAAACATTTTATCGTATTACATTACCACTTCTTGCAAGGTCCGTTACAAAAATGTACCTTTCACAGTACACTTGCTATAATGACGAAGTCTAACGACTTTACGGCTTATCACCTTATGCCAGTGTTCAGAAGAAAATTGTTAAAAATTGGTCAGTGTACACTGATTAAAGAAGAATAACAGAGGTAAACAGCTTTATAAAGTAATTAACATTAAAGTCCTTAGTTATTAATCGTGATTCAGCAGGTCCAGGTCAGGTGTTGTATAAAATTAAACATATAATAATTTGTTTTGTGGACATAATCTGCAGGGAAATGTTTTTGGTATTATCTTAAGCCTTTCCCCTGGGGAAAATCCAACAATTGATAAATTTTTAGTCCATTTCTCCAAAATCTAAAAATAAGTGAATGCTATGCACAAATCCATATGTAGATTGCCATTTGGAAAACGTCATATTTGGAGACCAAAATATTTTACAAATCTAAAAAAGTTAAATTTAAAAAACTAGGGGTGAATCTCTATACCAAGAACATAAAGACCATACTTGTAGTCTTGGCAAGACTGGTCTTGCTAACTTGCCTTCCAAGAATGAACTTGGGGTGCAATGAATCATGGAATTGGTCTCGTTCGGCAAGGATGCAACAAATGTATCCTTGATATTTGGGGCAGAACAAGACCAACATCTGGGGATTTTTACCGTCCTTGTGTGCTTGTGTTCTTAGTATTGGTACTGGTGTTCAGCAATGGAAGAGAACATAAAACGGGTACAAGAGAACACAAGTACGGTCAAGTACACATATTGAGATTCACCCCCGGTCTAGTCTTAATCATTGAGCATCCAGACTGAGATTTACTTGTTTAGCGTTGATCCACAACGCCTCTGCCTGGGTGAGGTGGGACTGTGTCCCAGCTGGGTCTGTGTCCTGCGGAAAGATGGGCAGCAGCACCTGTCCGATGTTGCTGTACGGGATAGGAATGCCCAGGAGCAGGGCCAGTGTGGGAACCAGGTCAGTCTGAGGAACCACCTCAGGTTCTACCTGCCAGAGTAACCAGCCACAAGCACCAATCACTCAGCTGCCAACCACATCAACACACCATCACAGATTTCGACAGATCCTTTTGGAGATGAGCTACACCGCTCACCTGGGACCCAGGGGGGGGGAAGAGTGGGGTGGGACTGTAGAGGAAGAGCGCGGCGTCCGTCTCCTTCAGGCTCTCGCCCCCGTGGTCCCCTGTGTCTGTCATGCCATGGTCACCCATAACAATTAGCAAAGTGTCATTTTCAATGAGCCTAATGACAGATCTGTCAAAAGAACAACAGAACAGAATGAAGAATGACACATATATAAAATAACAATAAAGAAGTATTGAATTAATAGGCTTTCTGTCCATAGCATGTTTTTTGTGCTATGAAGCTGTGCAGTCCCAGTACAGACAGTCCCCCAGTTACGGAGGAGATCGGTCTGTGAATTTGTAGGTAAGCTGGAACAAATGCACATGGTTCTTATTTAGTGTCAGTTACTCAAACGTTTGTCTTCGTGTATAGCATACATTTTCTATACTGTACTTCTTCAAGCCAAAGTCGTGCAATGTTTTCACGAGTGTCACTGCCTGTACATGCTAGTTGGATCAGGTCTAACACATGGTGCAGATGATCAAATGTCATGTGCATATATGGTTCATGTGCTAGAGCACGGGGCTGCACACTAAGCAGCAGGACGATGGCCGCGGACACGGCAGCCCCCAGTGACCTTATGACTCCGTCCATCTGCGTGAGCTTGTCTGCCATGGCGGGGTGGTTGGGCCCGAATCGATGTCCGCAGTGGTCCACACCCAGGAAATGGGCGATGAGCACATCCCAGTCGCTGCTCTGCACTGCAGGCCCGGGATACCAGTGGAACGGAAGAGAGGAGTGATACCAGTGGAACGGAAGAGAACGGAAGAGAGGAGTGACTAAACGCTGTCTGCTGAAAACCAACAAATGAGGCTCCCTGTTTTGAGCCAAAACAAGATGACCCACTAAGGGCCATATTCTGTTATGTAAACACTTCCTGCCCCAAGTCAGCGAGAAGCTTTTTCCAAAGGTTTGAACTTGACTGAAGAGTAAATAGAGACAGCAGAACCTGGATGTAGACTAGTGGCCAAAACTGTGGAAACACTTCCAATTTTTATAGATTGCGGAACTTTATTCAATTGTCGCTCCAGTTACTTATATTTAATCGCCCAGTGTATGATATTTGTCAACATTCTTTGCTTGTTTATAAAAATTATTGCTAATATCGAGTGGAGGTTTTCATCAACTTACGCCCCCTATGCGACCTATGACTCATCGGCTTTACAACCGATTGGCTTTACGACCGTTCTGAGACCGCAAATATGTGGCCACAACTGTGTCACGTTCTGGCCCAGCGCGAGTGTTGCCCGGCGCGAGTGTTGCCCGGCGCGAGTGTTGCCCGGCGCGAGTGTTGCCCGGCGCGAGCGTTGCCCAGTGCAGTATCCACCCCAGCTGCCGCTGAACAAATAAAATGGTGATCAAGAGGTTAAAAAACACCAAACAATACGACTTAAAGATTATATAATTTTATTATACAGTATACTATACATAAAATAATTTTTTGCATATAAAATAAAGGGGCGACTTATGACCAGTTCGTTACGGTCAGTCGGTGTGGTCGCAAGTCGACGATGACCTGCAGTAATATTTAAAGGATAATGCCAAAAATGCTATGCATTTCCACAATTTTGGCCACTAGAGTATATCATACTAGCAAAATGATAATCACCAGAAACATCTCAATACTTTGCATGAAATAGATTCAAGAGTTCAGCATTTTTGTTACGAGAAAAGTATCATTACTGCAGTCATTGTTAGCAGATTTTATTAATTATATTAGTTCTAAGCATTACTGAACATACTTTACACTCTGAGTATATGACTCTGAGGCTCTTACCACATACTGATACCTACAGGTGGGGTAGAGATGTTTCAGGATGCCATCATCCACGGTGTGGAGGTCCTTCACATTAAATGACGGGAAGGGCAGCGAACGGTGGAACTTCTTGGGGAAGAGGCTCTCCCAGGTGTCATCACCCATGAAGACCACACGCTTTCCTTCAGACAGAACGCACAGTACTCAGTGACGGCAGGGGTCATTGGGTTGCCTGACAGGTCATTTAGATGGTTTGGGTGGTACTCGATGTCATCTAGCAAACCTCTGGTCCTCAAATAAGGTTTTGTGATTAAAACAAAGACCTTAACATGTACACTTCCTTAGTCCACCTAATGAACTACAAAGCCCCGTTAAATGACTTACCAGCTTCTCCCAGCTGGTGCACAAGGTTGTCCTCTAGGATGGCATTAGAGGCAAAGTTGTTACCCACGTCGATAAAGGTGGGCAGTGAGCCGGTCGTGAAGCCCTTGATTCGCTGCATGGTAGTGGTGGGCGGGTCCGCCCGGAACGCAAAGAGCCTCGATTGGGTTGGCCGTGATGCTGTCACTTCCTGCAGCACTGGCAGCTTGTTCTCAAAGGGCAGGGGCATGATGTTTGTGGGGTCAAACTGGGCAAAGTTGACCTTCAGGGCATCGATTATCAGAAGCACTGCCCTGCGGAAACGCGGCTCCCCACGGCAAAATCTTCCAGCCTCGTCCCCTGGGGGCAGAACGTCACTGCAGGAACTGCTCCTGTTCACCTCCAGTCGCACCAGCATGAAGCCCCCCACAAACAGGTAAATCCCAACATAGAAGGTGGCGCACACCCACAGGAGCAGCATCAATACAGGAAGTCTCCTCATCCTAAAAATACATTAAACAATCCTTTTCAGCTTAAGATGTTCAGCATGTGGCAGACCATTAACAACAGAGGTTTCAGAATTATGATTGCCACAAATCTATCTATTAAATATACATTGAAACCAACAACTTTCACTTTTAACAACTTCTGTAATTCATTTTCATATTTAGTTACACTTAATAGAGTAAGAATCAAAACTTCAAAGGTCTCTCTAATATGAAGAATCTTTATTCCTCCTCCAAGATTCCAACACAAATTTCAAGAATATAACAAAGGAATTGCACAAGATAGTTAATACGATAATCTGCTTGTTGCATAAATATTCCTTATTTACAACCATATAATGTAATATAATCATGTCACTCTTTCGATGACTACAATCTGGAGCCACTTCTCAGATGTTCTTCTAAGTTTATCCAGCTAGGATTCTTACTTCTTTATGAAGCAGCTGCTGTAAGTATACTAAGAGCCTGACTAATTAACAGCAATGCAAACTATTACTCAACAGCAGCTTTAACACATGTTTTGGAAGCATTTTACATTAAAAAACAGGTGCAGATCGAATCGCTGCTTTTTGTTATTGATAATATGACAGCAGGATGAACTGGCTCACTTTATAAGCTGCAGGTCCGGTCCACCTGGAGCACGGCGTGAATCGGCTTCTGACCTTGCGCGTCCTCGTTCATTCAGCGCAGGTGCTGAATGGGCAGGTAAACACACCCACCGCAGGCAACGCGGGATATCTTATACTGCCCCCCCGGCTCCCTTAACAGGGTACGCGCGTTTCATTCGGCTGCCATCCTGCAGAAACGTGAGCCGGCACGGAGCCGGAACAGAGTAGCGCGCAGAGAGAGTGACCGGCCACCCGCAAGACAGCGGCACAGACTGCGCACGCCCTCTAGTGCTTTGGAGGTAAAAATGCAGCCAACCATATTATACTCCGTTAAGTAGCAACAACATAAAAACATAAAAAAATAAACAAAACTTACCGCTCCAAAAAAGTTAATTTTAAATAAGTATTTGAAATAAAATGAATGGCTGAACAGGGTGGCACAGTGATTTGCGCTGCTGCCTCACAGCAAGAATGTCCTGCGTTCCTTCCTGGGTTGGGTGTAGGACCTTTCTGTGTGGAGCTCGCAAGATCTCATGTGGTTCATGTGGGTTTCTGCTGGGGCTCCGGTTACCTCCCACAGTCCAAAAGTGTGTAGGATAGGTTAACTGGTGACTCTAAATTGGCCCTGTGGTGTGTTGGTGACTGCCCAGGGTTGGTTCCTGCCTGTGCCCATTGTTCCCAGGATATGCTGCAGTCCCTCCCCCTGTGATCCCATTTGGGATTAAGTGGTTGTGGTAATGGATGAGTGGCTCAACAATATTCCTGCCAATTAATGTCTCCAGTTAAAGAAAAGGTGAATAGTGATACTTCATTAATCCCTATGGGGAAATTCTTCTTTCTCCCATCCTATCATGCTCACCATGAGGCATACAGGTGAGAGCAAGCTTGGGGGTCACAGCACAGGGTCAGGCAGCATGTAGTACCCCTGGACCTGGGGGAAGCCTAGTTCAAGGGCCCAGAGACATGTGACTATTCTGTCAGGGCTGGGATTCAAACCAGTGACCTTCTGATCACAGGCACAGAGACTTGAGGTGCACACAACAGACTTCTAATGGGAATGGCTGTTGTTTTAGTCTGGGTTTGAAGTAATTAGCTTCAAATCACTTTTAAATACTGTATTTAACTAGGGTACTTGATAAGAATGGAGCAGGAGATCAACGGGCAGATTGGTGAAGCATCAGTTATGTGAGCATTTCTGAGCCGGAAGGCATTCCTACCCTCGCCTATGGTCACGAGCTTCGGGAAGTGACTGAAAGAATTAGACTGTGGATATAAGTGCTGGAAACGAGCTTCCTTCACAGGGGTTCTGGGCTCAGCTTTAGAGACAGGGTGAAGAGCTTGGACATTTGGGAGTAACTCAAAGTACAGCCGGTTCTCTACCGCATTGAAAGGAGCCAGTTGAGGTAGTTCAAGTATCATGCTGGGATGTCTCCTGGACACCTCCCTGGGGAGGTGCTCCAGACCTGTCCAACCGACAGGAGATTCTGGGGCAGACCCAGGAGACACTAGAAAGATAGTATCTCTCAGCTGGCCTGGAAGCACCTGGGGATCCCCTGGAGGAGCTGGCTGGGGAGAGGGAGGTCTGGGCATCTCCACTCAGACTGCTGCCCCAACTACCTGGACTCGGAAAAGTGGCAAAGGACGGATGGATTAATGGATAATAACGCAAGAACTTTCTGGTTTCTGGTGGATAGAGCACCCAAAGAAAGTATTTAGGCATGCCTACATTTTCAAGAAGGTTAAACTGAAATAAACTGATGGCGTAATTTTCATGCAGTACTGGAAATTCAAATAACAAAGCCAGCTAGACCGAATGACTGTTTATCTTGTCCAAATCTAACATCAGTCACAAAGTGATATGAAACAGTCAGGAGGACTTGAACCAGTTCATATGAATCATGATTTGCTCTGTTGCTTAAAAATAAGGGATATTTTTATAGAGAACTGTGCAAAAGTCTTAGTCAAAGATGATGATTAAAACTTTTTATCTGGGTAGTAAGTGTGTATTTCCTCAGAAAAAAAGAATTTAACATTAGAACATGTGCAAATCAACAGTAACAGAATAAAAACTAAAGTAAGGAAATACATGGGTGTATTGGATGGTTGTTGCAAGTACTGGGTTGAAATTAGGAGAGGATTTGAAAAAGCACTTTGACAAACACATAAACCGATATGAAAATCATTTAAACATTTTTTTTTGCACAGTGCTGTATGTTTTGGAAAGCAAGAGTATATATCAATGGAAAAGGAAGTGCATTATGTAACCATGTTATTATTTATACTGAGCGTATGTTCAAAAATTCTCCTGAAACTTCTGAATATGGTTTAGAAATGCTGGGGGGAAAAAAGACAACAGCCTTTTCTGAATATTTAATATTTCACAGGTGTACAATCTTCACAATTCTCCCTCATAAAATGGCTTGCTAATTACATATGATAATAGTACATAATGACTGCAGAAATGTCTTCTATCCAAGTCAAATTATGTACTGTGGTGTGACTGAGAAGCTCAACATTTCTCTCACACATTTTCATTAATCAGCTTCAGGCATCCCACTGCAGTGCATCTCTGTATGTCAAACATGGGCACATTTGTGCTAAGAATTAATTACTGGGTAGAAGAATTACAGTGATAACGCTTAAAAGGTGGAGGCACCAACTCGCAGTACTTGTGAATATGGTGAGATGCTGCTGAATGGCTGGGGTACCAGAAATCACATCAACCACCAAACTTGCACTGGAGACCTACGGCATCCCAGCGAGTGATGCTTAGGTTCACATACAAGTCAGGAATGTGTGTGTTACACTGGAAACTGGAGGATGAATCAGTGTGTGTTACACTGGAAACTGGAGGATGAATCAGTGTGTGTTACACTGGAAACTGGAGGATGTACACCTGAAGGAATTTAAACACAATGGAAAAAAAATACAAACGGCGGAAAAACAGAATGTTGACGATTTTGCCTGTAACTTAAGCCTGGTCATCTGGCTTCTCCTGAGGATGCCTTTCCTTCAGGTCTTCCACCTTCAGGAGGGTAAGCAACAGCGTCCAAAAAAGCCACAGAGTCTCTGCATTTCTGTTATGTTCCAGCAATTGAGGAATCTCTCCCCAAATTAGTCATGTTTTGGATACATCGTCCGACTAAATGTTTGTTATCTGATCATACGACTTGTGCATTATTCGCACCACAAGTTTGGTACTATTACTTTCTCATGGAACAATGACCGTAGTGCTGGAATACTGCAGAAATGCAGACACTGTGGTCTCTGGGCCGGCCTGCCCACCTCTGCTCGAGCCAGTTCTTGAAAAGGACTGAAATCGGCCTCCTCTGCTCGGCAACAGTCCGAGTCTGTGATCTATTGACCACCAGGAGGCGATAGTGAGGATCCCTCACTGAGGTGTTTCTCCTCGGTCTCCGCTCTCAGAATGCTGGCCGCTGTGTCCGTGGTAGCGGTAGATAGCCTGCCCTTCTTCGGCTGGGCCAGGCTGCCGTAGATGGTCATGGCCTGACGGACATGAGAAGGAGATGGTCACCCTGGGCACCCAATGACAGCCAAAGTCGACCGCGAACGCAGATGCTAATTCAAAAAATGCCTGATGCGGTTGCAGCTGCAAGCTCAGTCACCTGGGAGACCATGCTGCTGATGTCTCCAGTGTTTGAAGGCAGCAGGATGGTGTTGGTCTCCTTGGCCAGGTTGGAGAAGGCAGATACATACTGCTCGGCGACACTCAAGGAGGCCGCGGCATCGCCATTCTGCAGAAACACGATCCGCCAGGTTACCCCAGTACACATTCCACCATATGAACATACGGGGGGGAGACAGGGTCCCCTTCAATCAGGAGGCATCAAAGCATTCATACATTAAAACTGAATGCGTCTCTAAATCACTATTCTCTACGTCTGACTAACCCATCCACGCTCACAGCCAACACGCCCAGCATGTCTACCTGCTCTGTCAGGGCGTCAGACAGCAGCTTAATGGCTTTAGCCTTTGCCTCTGCTTTGGCCAAGACAGCATTGGCTTCACCTGGGGAAATTGGAAGAAAAGAGAATGAGGGATTCCCTCTCGTACCCATCTCGTACCCATCCATCCAAACACACACACACACACACACAGAGGAGAATTTAAAGACACCAATTAGTCTAGCTAGCATGTCTTTGGACTGCAGGATGAAACTGGAGTGCCTAAACCACATCCGTGTAACACAAGAGAACATGAAACCTCCACAGACAGAGTAGAGGTAGGATTCAGATCCCCAACCTGAGGGTGTAAGTCAACAGTGCTACTCATTGAAGTACCATACCACTTACACCGATCAGCCGTAACATTAAAACCACCTGCCTAATATTGTGCTGCCAAACCTTTGCCGATTGGTTGACTACAAGCACCAGCACTAACGTGGAAGTTATGCAGAAGACAGAAATAGTAGAGCAAAAACGGAGCTGATGGAATCATTTTTCTGCCGATCTCAATGACATTAAATCGGGGCTGAGATTTAAGTTAAAGCATGGCATTAAAGCCATAATGCATTAATATTTTTTATTTAATCGCATTAATGCATGTGGTATTCATTAATAAATAGTTTTGCATTTCTTGCTAGGAGAATCTTATCTCCAGAACTTGACGTACAAATCTTCCTTTCCTTTCTTTTTTTTTTTTTTACAGGTATATTTTCTCTAATATCGCTTGAAGATCGATCTACTGGCAAGAGCTAGTAATTTATAAACAAGTCACAGGTCGTATAAATAAAACGCCGTGTCCCTTTTTGAACCAATATAGGACACAATTCACCACCTATTTTCGGACTGTCTGATCAAACCCCTCAATCCCCCCAATTACTGACAATAACTACCACACGACGTCTTCCTCCTCCATTGCTTTGGAGTGGTGGAGTGATTATGGCGTGTATGAAATTTACGTGTGAAGTTTAACCGACAAGCTTTTTGCGTCTCCCATGCCTATTTAGCATAAAGGTCACAGTTCCTGTTTTGCAGTGTGAAAGAGACACGGAAGTGGCAGAGAACGACAAAAACTGACAAAAAAAAAAATCGAGACAGTCCGGGAACTCGAAACCAGGTTTGTGGACTTGGCTGGGAATGCAGGTCGCGGGTATGACCGCGCTCTCAGTCTCAGCCTGCATGGTGACGTTACCGGCTGCCTTGTTGATCTGTTCTGCCTTCTCGGCCTCAGAGGCCAGAATCTGTGCCTGTTTCCTGCCTTCCGCCACGTTGATGGCTGCTTCTCTGGTGCCTTCGGACTCCAGCACGGTGGCCCTCTTCCTTCGTTCTGCCTCCACCTACGGGCCAATGATGACCACATTCTGACACATTAACTCGTCACCAAGATAACCATAACCAGCAACTATAATTCTCCACCCAGTTACCCTTTTCCAAAGAGTCCTAACCACACTCAACAGTCCACCACAGGGGTGTACACAGTGCTGGTGCTGACACAAGATATTGACCATGTTCAAATCTGTCAGACCAAATATTGAAGAGCTTGTATCCTTCCTTTGTATCTGCTGATAAGTCAAATATCATTTTTGGGTGAAAAGAAGTAAAGTACTAAAGAACCATTCAGATAGAACTCGGCGATATGGCCTAAAAATTAAATAATATTTTTTCACAATAAATCCGATTTTCCAAAAAAGATGCTTGTAAGTGAGATGGCAGACCACGCCATTGTAAACACTTTTAGAAACTTGTAAAAACTTTTAGCATGTTAATGAATCCCGGCTTTTCCACAGTATGTATGGGCACCATGTCTTTTGCAACATACATCGCGACAGCGTTTGTTGTCGCCTTCCATCGTGCCCCATTCTTATCATATGGCACATAGTTCAAAAACGTGTCAGGGACGGTTTCTTGCTTAAGTTTGGATGTTGTGCTGGTGCTGCAGGTATTTTCATTTCACTGGGAGCTGCACTTCTCCCACTCCGCTGTGTGCCTCTGCTTTAGGTGCTGGAATAAATTTGTCGTGCTGCTTCCTTTGGTTGCAACAGTTTTTAAACAGACTTTGCGACGAGGACTTGTTTGGTCTGTGTCCAACGGCGCAAAACCAAACCATTGCCATGTTGTTTGTGAATCCGCTAGAGTGTTTGGGTGTGCCGCGCTAATTTACCCGTGAAGAACGGTGCGTCGCTTTAGTTCCACTTTTGGCGCTCGCGTGTTAAATAAGTAATAAAATCGATTTTCCTAAAAACATATAGTCCTGAACTGTAAACTCGAATTAATCGATAAAATCGATTTATCGCCCACCTCTACATTCAGATAAAAGTTTGGGATATCAGTGAGGCTGAGTTGTTAAAATGTAAATGTAATTAAAGAGTCATTTATTTTGCAGTTTTTCTCCAAAGCAACCGACATTTTTAAGAAATGGGGGCAGCGTGTGGCTCAGTGGGCTAAGCCTGTGTGCCTGTAACCAGAAGGTTGCCGGTTCAAACCCAGCCTCAGCATGTCTGCGGGTCCTTGAGCAAGGCCCTTAACCCCCAGCTCCCTGGGCGCTGCTACGGGTGGCTGCCCTTTGCGGACAGCTTACTCTACAAGGAGCAAGTTGAGGGAGGTATAAAGACAATTTCCCCACAGGGATCAATAAAGGGTTAATCAGTCCCCAATTGGAAATTCAGGGCCTCCCTCATGGGATGGTGAAACTGCTCTACCAACCCTAGGATGCGACCTAGTGCCCAACCAACCACAGACACAGTGTCCTAACCCACTGAGCCGCACACAGACCTCCAGCTTTCATCTCCAGGTCTCAATGTCCAAACCTTCCAGCAGCTTCACTGGGAGACATCCACTCACCTGCATCTGCATGGACTCCTTAACACGCGGAGGAACATGAATGTCCTTGATCTCGTACCTAAGGCAGCGAATGCCCCACTCGTCTGACGCCTGGTTGATGGAATGGACGATGTTGGAGTTCAGGGACTCTCTTTCCTACACAGCACAGGTAGGGTTTGAATGGCAGGTATACTTGGGCGGCCAGAGACACACCTGCTTTTATACTTACAAAAAAGAATGAATTCTAAAAGCAACCACAACTATATAGTGTGATGCTGAATTTCATAGTGTCTTTTGTTCTGATGACTGGTACCTGGTCGTTTGCATGTTATCAAAGGATGGAGAAATACAGAATAAAAAGCGAAAACGGATTCATTGTGTGTCTTTAAGCCATTTGATAAGAGCACACTCTCCCTTACCCGAAAAACTTTGTCAAGGGTCAACTTTCCAAGCTCAGAGCGCATTGTGGTTTGTGCCAACTGAGTCACAGCATATTCTGGATCTTCGACTCCATAGCTGGACTGGAAGGGAACAGGTATGGTTATTAGTCAGCGCGTCATTTATCAGCAATTACATTACTACTAAAGGTTTATGCAATAGCCCAGCAAGAGCTGAACAAAATATTCAGTAAATATTGATGTTCAATAAAAAGCCAGCATACCTTAAAAGGATCTAGTATTCTGAGATACAGAACTCCATCAATCTGCAGTGTCACATTATCTGAAACAGCAGCACGTCAATTGAAAAGAAATAGATCACAGACACATAACCAATGGCAAGGACAGACACTTACCCAGTGAGACGGCAGACTGTTCTGGCACGTCGATGACGATCTCCTTCAGGCTCTGCACATAACGAATTCTGTCCAATATCGGAATAAGGAAATTCAATCCCTGGGAAAAAACAAATAAACAAAATTTAGTTATTGAAGTCATGTACTTAGCTTTGGATGAAGCAGCAGGTTGACTTACTGGTTCCAGGATACGGTGAAACTTGCCCATTCTCTCCACCACCCAGGCCTCCTGCTGAGGCACAAAGAGCACTACAGTGTTCATGGGGAGGCTGGAGGCCCATCTCTGCTGGGCCAGGGCTGCCCACTGTGAGGGTGTGCTGCGGCGAGAGTGCTGCATGGAGACGGGACCGCCATCCAGATGTCAAAGACAATCATGTGTTCTAGTCATCCAGTCCAACACATCGACAGTTTTATCTTAAAGGATTGTAACGTTGTGTTCCAAAAACATGAAACCAGTCAATACAAAATTTCCCTTCAGTATGTATGAACGCAAAATTAACTTTGATTTTATTCTTTCCTCAACAGACCGTACAATTTAACCGCGCAACCTAAAGAAAACATGAGTTTACATTGAGAATTATGTCCATCAATGTATCATTATTAAAAACAAAACAAGTTTGTTTACATCTAACACAGCTAAATTTTAATAAATAAATAAACTAATTGAGCAACAATGCGATAACGCGCCTGCATTGACAGCCAGCGATGGAGCGAAACAAGTGAGTTTACACATCTTACTTAGCTAGTTAACATCAGCACAACTATTTCATTTCAGTATTACCTTCAGAAGAGCACTTCCAGTCCGACAAACAGTGCGAAGCATGTTGTAATTATTATTTCACCCGTCAGTGAATGTCTATAGATCGAACGACTTTTACTCTCCACTTTATATTCAAACGTGACCCCTGATGATAGGAAGCAGCGAAGTTGCAGCATGCATTCGGTACGGCGCTGAAATCCTTCCCCCTGCAAACAAACGCCGGCTAGATACAGGAAGTCCGACTCTTTTTAGTCTGCCAGATCATTCAGCTGTTGTCTCCCAAACGGCTCTTCATTTAGTATCACTTCTGACTTTTATAATTCAGCAACGTTTTCACCTGTGGTTTGTATATGTACATATATATAGATATCACTTCAATTATTCAATGTAATTATACTATACTTTTTAATTTCCATTATTTAAAATGATGTTTGGTATGAAAACATCCATCTATTTTGGGGACCGCTTGTCCTAGTCAGGGTTGAGAGGCAGAGAACAACCCAGGATGGGGCACCAACCCACCGCTGGGTGCAATCACACGTGTACACCTATGGGCCATTTGGTAACTCCAATTAGCCACATTGTAGGACTATAGGGGGAAACTGGAATACCTGGAGGAAACTCTACAATGACACGGGGAGAACATGCAAACTCCACACACATGGAGCTATAGTGGAGACTCAAACCCTGGTCCCAGAGGTGTGAGGCACCAGTGCTAACCACTGCAACCCTGTGCCACCCCTGGTATAAAAACATAATTTAAAAAATCTCAAACATTATTACATGTGTACTGAACATTTTATTTACGTTGTAATTACAGTTTAACTACAAACACCAAACACAGTGCATCTGGTCCTTGGGTATAAATGCATGTTACAATTCTAATGCTACTATAATGTCCATATGAAATAGACACCTATTTATAATTTTCAATGACTTGACATGTAACAGTCATGAGGGAAGTGATGGCTCGGGATGTCAGGCACAGCTGGGGTTCTTTTAACCCTTTCCTGCAGTAAAGCACATTCTCTATCATGCAGTCTGCTGAATGTTTAATTCCTACTTGGATTTGGATGTAGCTTCCACATCTCTTGTCCTCCACGACTGAGAATTTGGTTGGATGACTTGCAGTCATTTTAGTCTATTCCCCATCAGTTGTGTTCTGTCTTGCCAGGGTCAAAAACTGGCATAAACTGTGTTGTTCATGCCCGTGTACCTGATGCCTGAAGGGACGACTGTGGACACTGCAGCAACAACGGTCCCTGTAGACTTTTCCATGTTCAGTAGCAGACATGCTAGCTTGGTTTATTCTTAAAACCGCACTGGTCGGGTGTACAGTTCTAATACGTCAGTGAAGGTTGGTTGTTAGTAGATCCTGCTCGAAATGGTAGTTTTATCTTAAAAATTGTACATTCTGCCTTTGTGTTGTCTATGTTATTAAAATGCATTTAAATGCTACTTAGTTTGCGACTGTCACTGATCTTGTTTTCTGCTGCTCTTGCACTCCTCCTGTCTCTGTGCTTGTAGATGCCTTTTAACCTAACGGCATGATTGATGTCAGTCGTCACAGTTGATTGGTCGCACGGCACGTACATCAACACAACATTCAGTCGGTGCCTGGTCTGCTCGTGGCCAGCAGTGTGGTCATCCAACGATCAACCAATCATTGTCTTACATTAATGGAAAAAAAAAGAAAGAGAGAGAGAAATTGGCTCTCAGGCAGGAACTGCCCCCTATCATTCATGTAAAGGAGCCACGGCTCATACAGCCAACATGTTTGCGACTGACACACCACTAATGCCATCCACTATACAATATATAGTGGTACTAATGTATGCATGACACAAGAAACGGGGTGGAGGAGAACATGGTGCCTCAAGTGTCAGTCATCGGACAGAAATGCTGATGGTGTGTTAATTTTTCCCAACTTGCCATTTAGTATAAGATGACCTAAATTAAATCCAGTAAGAGATACTGAAAATGCTACTGGCACAATGCTTCACATAAATAAGAACCCAGTAAGTGAGAAAAACCCTGTCGTAACCTCACCAGTGAAACTAAAACCTTGATTTGATTAGCTAATGGCAAAAAGGTGTGATTAACAAGCTTGCTTCAAAAAGGCAGTTCAGACGTTACCATTCTGCCTCCTGCAGGAGCACAATATTTACACAACATTTACATTTACATTTACATTTAGATTAGATTAGACTTTATTAATCCCACAATGGGGAAATTCTTTGAGAATTTACTCCTCTGTTCTTTTGTCCATGCTTAAAGGTTACTGGTAGTTATTCTGTCAACCTGCACCTGGCCACCTTATGGAGCTACCAGAGGGGCTGATTGCTGTTTTTGCAGGAGAATGTGCTTTGCAAATAAAGTACATCATTTACCAGAATGAAATAATGTGTAATTGATTAACTGTATCGCACTTTTACAGTGATGATTTTGTCATCACATCATCCTGTTCTGACTGTAGCCACTTTGACTTCACTGTTACAGTAAGGACACATTTGAGATACTAGCAAACATTTGGTTGTGTAGTTTAGTTTGGTATTTAAATGTAGTGACTAGAAACCACTGTCTCAAAATGATCAGACCACTTAAGGTGTGCAAGAACTTAAAGCATTTCAGTATACCGCATATTTGCTATTAATTTCCACAAGGACAAAACAGTTTGATATTTAAACTTTTATTTTGTGCAGAGAAACCAGCCCACAGCCATTAACTGTTGACATGGCAAAAACTCACGGCTGAGTGTAACACAGGGAGCAGAGAGGGAAAATGAACAGACAGGGACAGCAGAGGTCCAGTTCAGCACACAGGGATGTTCTCAGGAGAGGACTTGTGCTGACCGTACAGTGTTCATCGGAAAAATGTCTAACATTTGGCACTTCCACGTGGGCAGGGTGTCAACACCAACACACACCTTACTGGTCACAATCAATGACATTAATTTGAATTTCTGATGATTAGAGATTTAAAATCGTGATACTTCACATTTTTACTCTTTTGACCCGGTTATTTCTATGCATATCGAAAAATGTCTTAGTGAAATCAGAATATAAATGTAAAAACTGACTTTAATGAAGCCCACAGATACATATGTTAAATATCTCAATATATTAAAAATGGATACATTCTAATTTTGAAAATTAAATGGAAATTTGTTTAGAATGGTTAACTTCTAATTAACATTTTAAAACAGCAATAAAATATTGCTCTATATTTTCCTTGAAATAAATTTGACACTTATTTAGAAATGGGTGTGGAATTGACATAAGATCCAACTTAATATCAAGGGCTGTTATTAACTCTGTTTTCTTCTTTGGTGAATAACAAATCAGTCACAGTAATCAACTTCAAGATCAAGTAAAAATCTTAAACCCCTTTCAATTAAAATGTGACAGTGCAATGAAATGTCTGGATAAAAATATAGTATCATCCTTCCTTACTAGACTAGAAATGTGTAAAACTCAAACACAAAGCTTGGCTGCATAAAGACAGTATTTGTGCTGAACACTGTATTTTCAAAGCCAGTGTGTCTGCATTTTATCAGGTATTTAATCAAAACCAGTTTCTTTGACCTTTTCTTTTGTTTCTATTGTTTTTCCGAGTTTGTCACTTAATCACCAAATAAGATATTTCTACATTTGGATATAGACTGCTAGGACCGCATGAATGGTCTTTAAAAGCAAAGCTTGACACTGAAGTCATTTCTGGAAAGGAAGAGAAATAAAACACTGATTCTAGTTTTTCTAAACCCTTAGCATTCCAATTTGACCCCTTATTCTGGCAGGTGATGATTGATTCTAAACAACCAAATGCCCAATTGTACACAGGCAGTGTATTCAGCCTGCTGTCTCACATTATCAGTAATCACACTGTGTTCTTTCAAAGGCAGATTGTCACGTGAGCTGAACTATACAATTCCCTATGCTGGTTTACCGGCTATCATCGATCGCCTGTGTTACTTGTGAGCCAATGAGTTTTTTTTATTAAACATACAAATATTGGAAACACCCAGTGTTACCCACCCCTGCCCCTCCCACACCTACATCCGCCAGCCCACAATCCCACCCTGTCTTTCTTCACAAGTCAGAGTGACACTACAATTTGATGGCAAACAACAGTAACAATTTCTCCTAGGAAACAACAACAACAACAAAAAAAATCACTCTCTATCTCTGTAGCCTATTGCTTTAAGACACCTGTAAAATAAATAAACTAATTTAACTAACTTTAACTGAAGAACATACCAACCCACAGAGCTCTCCTAGTCTGCCTGTGAAGACTGAGTATGCAAGCCTCTGTCTTGCTTCCCTTCCAACATGCGTGTGCGCGCGCACGCACACGCACACACACACACAAACACACACACACACACACACACGGTGGCATAATCAACATAACCACAGCTTGTCTTCCTGTAGAACCTTTCTTTCTGAGCCCTCAAATGTCGGACTGGGGAGCTATATTGCAGTTTCTGTGATGTGTGTGATTAGTAGAGTCAATACTCACAGAAAACCCAACCTATAAGATGTTATCAGTCATGTGATAGACCCCTGAGCAGTTTCATCGACTACACAAAGGATTAATTGTCCTTTAACATCCTTACACGTTGCTGTGGTTTGCTTTCACCCACCTGTCAAAAAGAATGACATCACTGCCCCAATAATGGCTGTGCTTATGAGTCTACCTACGGTAGCAAGAGATGATCAAATCACCGACCTGTTACTGACTGAGACTGGTCCACTCAGGGAATCACAATGGTAGATAGAAACAGGTTGAGATGTTTGTCACAACACTACAAAATACTTGTACTATCACTAGGCATGCATGTTGACTCCAACGTGAGGAAAAGTCCTTTGTTTGCGCTCCCATCTTCGTACTTTAAACATTCTTGTTTGTGCGTCTGCTTTTTGACAAGGTCTGAGCTTCGTTCCAAGCAGGCTGTCAGACTCGGGGTGAGTACTTGGGGTTTCTTGGCACCTCGGTGAAGGACTTGAGCTCGTAGGGGATCCCCGCGTCCACCTCAATGGATTTTCGGGAGAATAGCAGCCGGATATCATCGTGCAAATAGATTTTTCCAGATTTTGAGCTCTGGAATCTGTAAAGAGCGGTGTGGAGTTTGGTTTCATGGGATTCATAACTACTGAAGTAGGAAAAACCTTGAGTTTGACCCGTTCTATGGTTTTCATGTTTGAGTGTATTGAGGAACAACAAAAGGAAAGCTATGTAACTTATTTTTGCTATCCACAGCGATTAATTTATTGAAATAAGGGTACTAAATCATCTAATTCTAAAGGTACTAAATCGTCACATTCAGTCTCTCAAACTTTATATTGATGACAGTTTCGTCATTCACAGATAACCACGAGGCCTGAAAGATTACCTGAGGTGTATTAAGTAGCAGAGAATTTTCTTCCTTTCTGTGGTTCCATCCTCCGATTGGACAGTTGGCTTCTCACCTTCCTCCACGGGAACCAGGAAGATGCGATGACGCAGGAAGGTCACGTGATTGACAGGCATGTCATCACAATTGTATGTTACTAAGAACATCTTCACCACAGTTTTGTTGGGGTTGAATAAGGTCTTGAAATGGAAGAGAAGGTAAAATGGTTGTTTATTTTGCGTCCAAAGGCATTGGATGACAAAATAATTCACGTATAACAAATCATGAGAGAGGAAGAGAGAGAGAGAGACAGAACTGACCACTTGGATGGTCCCTGCTTTGGGTACGCTGTATCCCTTTTTCCCAAGAGTCTCTAGGTAAATAACTCCCTGAAACAGAAATTTGACAAGACTTTTGACTGACTTTTCATGTTTTCATTGGCCAGCTCTGTTCTTAATGAGTGCTAGACTTCATAATCGCAGATGACCAATCGTACTGTGTTTCACTCCTTTGATACATTAATGGGGCTCCAGAATTTAAGAAGCTGTGTTTGCCATGTCCCAACGGTAGGTAGGTAATTCTAGAGCAATTTTGATTGGCCACAATAACATGCTACATTGCCAAGTGCTGCCCGAGGTCCAAGTCTGGAAAAAGCATTACCAGAAAGGGTGATGGGGCGCTCTGCTCTGAGATGTCATAGTAGGTGACCTGAACAGGGAGGATGGCATGTTGGGGGCAGTAGGAGCCACTAGCACCGATCTCCGCTGTGAAGCCCTCAATTTGGCCCGACGGGGAGAAGCGCCCCTTCAGGATCGACTCCTGCGGAGTGGCACAGAAATGCAGTGAAAACACCCATTAATTGTCTGTCAGTATTATTAATCACGGTAGTTATTTAAATTCAGAACAGAATGCCAGTCTGACTGCTATCTGTATACAGGCCAAACAGTTTAGTACAGAAGCAGGGTTTTGGTCAGTAATATTATTTTTGCACTGATGTTACCAAGTTTAAATAATAAAGATCTTATAAAAAAGTCAAATAAGTTACTATTTGTTGACTAGAGGGGTGTGTATTATTTGAACCAGAAATAATGCAGCCACATGACATATTTGGTAGTTGCACCTCAAAACTCCCCAGCAGGGAGCGACTGATAGAGGCTGCAGGCCACGGGGAGTGAGCAGCACGGCACCTCTCCCCCCCCCGTCGGCTACGGAGCTGATGCCTGCAGGGACAGACGGGCAGTCAGACAGGGAGAACATTTCAAGGAAAGAAAAAGGAAGATTGAACTCAGCTATAAGCTCTGCACAAGACTAAAAGTATTACGATGCCTGTCACAGAAAAGTAGATAATGGAGAGAGTCTAGCTTTATGTAGGTGCCAAATGTATGGTTTTATTCTATGTGTCTTGTTTAATGTATAAACATATCTTTATATAATTTCGGGATATCAAAAACAATCAAGGCAACATGTAAACATGGAAAGTATTCTAATATAACCAAACTCACGATTTAAGTCTAAGTCCACTTTTCAGTCTTCGTGTCCCTCTGGGGCAATCAGGAGCGACGCCCTGAAAAATGCACAATTCCTTATGGCCATCCCATTAAACATGTTTACACATTTGATTTATTTAGCCTCCCGTAAATGATCGCATCAGTCATATTTATTTTTGAATAATTTTACATAAATAATAAAAATAATAATAAAAATAACACTGGGCCGCCTTCCAAAGCCCTCCAGTGGTCTGTCGCACTGCCATCGCCCAAGTCCCTGTAGGGTGACCCTGTAGGGTGTCCCTGTAGGGTGTCCCTGTAGGGTGTCCCTGTAGGGTGACCCTGTAGGGTGTCCCTGTAGGGTGTCCCTGTAGGGTGACCCTGTCACCGGGGGCTGATCGCAGCCTTTTCTCTTCCGGCTGCCCTGCCTCCCAGGGTACTCCGCCTGTGCCCCCGTTTCTGAGTATTTATATAAAAATACACCCCCTCTGTCAGTACTGGAAATAGGCCCACACTGTGGGCTTTCCTGGAACGGAATATATGTACACATATTATACCATAGTGCCAGGGATTTATGTTGAGATGTGGACACAAAGGCACAGTGAAGGATCTTTATTCTAAGCCTGTTCTGCATGTTCAGCTGTAAAAAGAGTGTGATTTCCCCCCCTTTTTTTTCCTCTCTCAGTCATATGAAACGTCGTTGGCTAAACTGTATCTGTTAGAGAAGGCATTTAAAAGAAAAGGAGGACTATGTGGCCTGGTGCTGACCCTGAAGCAGATACTGAGCCTCACACTATCTGGATGAAACCATCTCAGCGTCGCAGCACCTGTGCAGTGTTACTTGATAGAATATTTTGGAATTTAGAGTCATTGTTGGACTATGCAGACTGAGCCCACTCAGGATGACATCACCCTTTGCCTACGGGACAGAACAGACGGGAGGTAGTATGTGGTGACATCACTCACTTTGGGCCACTCGCGGGCAGCAGGCAGGAGGTGATTCCAGAAGGGGGCAGCCTTGGCGTCAGTGCTGCGGCACGATCCCAGGCCAAGGCCTGGGCCCAATGATGTCAGGCGGCTCCTCTTGGAGGTGGATGGGCCTTCATCCTCGGAGCAGGACTCCCCCGTGTCGCTGGGGGACAGGAGCCGCCGCTTAGCTGGGCAGGACCCAAGCGGGGGGGACCCTGGGCCGGGGAGCAGTGTCCGTGGGCCGCTCGGGGTTTTATCTGGAGAAGCTGGACTGTTGTGCACTGATGAGGAAGATCCACCACCCACTGTCCTGTCTGAACAGCCCTCCAGAGAACTGGATGCTGAGTCCATTTCTGATTTTGCTGTCCCTCCATTGTGGGAGCCTTCTGTGCTGCTGCCTCCCAGTGAAACGCCAGTCCTGGGGTCGGGGGTCTGGGAAATGGTGCCACTGAGCTCAAATGGGTGATCAGCTTGGGACTGGTTTTTAGGGGAGCCGGGGTTCTCTGTACTGGGCACTAACTGGTTGTGATTCTGCTGGGCGGAAACACAGGCCCGAGTGGGCATGATGGTGGCTTGGGTAGGGGGGCCCATCTGGAGAAGGTTCGGGCAGCATAAGGCCTGACCTTCTAGTGTATCTACAGGCAGCTGATATTCCTGCACAAGCTCAGCATGAGGGCCGTCCTCCCAGGACTCCTCCAGGTGCAGCCGCTTGGGCTCCGTCAGTGGCTCCTCCAAGCTCCTCTTTCCGCCTGCCCTCGCTAGCCTCTGCCCCTCAGGAAGCTCTGAGAAACCCCCCAGCTGGGAGAAGATCGAC